CAATATACGGCCATGCTATTTAATGCGATATCTGTATGTGTTTGCTGGCCATTAACTGTTCTCACGTTGGAGATGTGGTAGACATTAACATATGTAACGTGTTTCTTGCATCTGGCCTATTTCGATATTTCGTTTTTGTAGTTGTCAATATTGAAAACCAGGCCTCACATTAAGAAGATCTTGGGAAAGGAAACAATGCATGTAAACCTTCCGATCTTAGTCTGGGCATTGATTGATGTTTGTTTTCCCAAAACTAATTTTTTTACCCGAAGTGCTAACTTTATGATTATCCTGATTCTGAAGTATAGAATTAGCACTGACTAGGTATGACCGCCAGTACCAGCCAGTAGTTTAGTGAGTAGTCACGTTTTTAGCAGGAATCATTTTGTTGGAAAGATCTTATTCGACCGATGAGAGACATACTTATACGGGTGTAAAGGAAACAATTGATCGAGCATTATTGCGACATACTGACATGGCAATTGTTTGTGAAGTCAGACATAATGCTCAGAAGTGCTGTTGGGTGCTGTTTTTATTCTCATAGGGTTTGTAGTTAGATTGTAGAGGTTTTATTACAGCCTTGTCTGTTTTTGTGTGACCTCTCTGCGGACCGGCAGTAACTTTTCCGCGGACCGGCGATTGGCCGCGGTCCGGTAGTTGCCGACCACTGCTATAGAACGAGTGAAAATCCCTGTTTTGTATTAGGACCATAGCTCTGACATAAGCAAACTGCGGCTTGCGGCCAAATCTGACCTGTTGGGCAGTTCAATCTGGCACGCCTGATGCTACCACAACCAAACTAAAACCAATTTTTAATAATGTTTAGCTAAATTAAATAGCATAAGAAATTTGTTGAGATTGCGTTTAAATTTAGTTTTTGCACAAGGCTTATTGTTTTACTTTTTCTTTTGTAACACTGTAAATATTGTTCATAAACATCACAACTACAGGGCTCGCCAGTCCAGGAGAAAGCGACGTAAGCTGAGATGTATCTTTGAGTTTTTCGATAAGAATAAAATATTTGCGTTTAAATTTAGTTTTTGCACAAGGCTCATTGTTTTACTTTTGCCTGTGTAACACTATAAATATTGTTCATGAACATCACATTTACATGGCCCGCCAGTCCAGGTGGGCAAAAAATTTGGCCCTAGGCCCAAAAACCTTGCCAACCCCTGGCTAGCATAATTCAAGTTTCGAGTTGAAATAAGCTTATCTGAGGAGGCGTAGCAGCAAGACAGTAATTTTTGTTTATATTGACGTAACACGCTTACTCGTGCTACGAACAAGGAGGAATCTTACTACAGGCGTACTTTGATGTCGAATTTATTCAATATACAATCTTCAATACACAACCCGCAGAATCGCACCCATTGGTATGCTTCTACCCTGGCTCATAATAACTTAACATAACAGAATAAACGAACGAAAACAATCTAATCCCGTCCTAAGCAGAATTAAAGACAAAAAGTTAGCAATAATAGTATGGTGCAAAAATAAAATTGCCGCTTCAGCGACCCATACATCATAAACACATCCTGTTTATTGAATTACGCAGTTAAGTTTCGTAATTTTGCATAGTTTTTTCCATAGCCTGCTACAGCTAAAAATAACTCTTGATATAAGCAAGGCATTTATTATCGCAATCTCGAGGAGAAAGCGACTTATGTTGAGACACATCTGTGAGTTCGATAGGCATAAAATGCTTGAGAGTCGCATGTATCGGGGGTGTTCATAAAGTCCCTCAACAATTTCAATTTTGTTATGAAGTCAGTTCTCGATATATCTTAATTAACCAGGTATTTAATCAGTAATTGTTCAAGTAATTTTACTTCATTTAATACATCTGTGAGGGCCAAAACAATATATGGTATCAATAAATTCCTTTTGAAATTTAAAATTTTTGTAAGACTGCATGGACACCCTTGAGATTTATAAAAGCTGAAAGACGAAGTGGTCTCAGTGGTTCCAAACGTTTTTTCTCAACCCCCCCCCCCCTCAACTTATTTTGTAACTTTTTATTCCTTTCTCACTACGCATAAAAATTGCTTTATTTATTCAAGCTTTAATATAACCTTATCTAATATTATACGCAAGTCGCACTCTCGCTTTTGTACAGTTAATAATGTTTGCATTAATGGGTATTAAAGTGATAATAAAAAACATTACGACGACGATTCCTACTGCGTTACAAGCAGAAAACGGTAGAACCTCTAAGCAAATCTGACAAATCAATTTTCAAAGTGTAGCAAGGTCAATAATAGTGGCAAACCTGATAGTTATTTGATTATTTTCAAACAACATACATAGTAAATATAGACTCGTGGAACTTCTGGACTGTCTTCACGATATCCCGGTTGAAAACCACGGTACAATACTTCTGAATCCATATCTCGATTAAACGCGGACGCTTCCGAATGCCGAAGATCAAAAAGTATCAAACTGTGATGTCACAATTTAATATCATTGACTTTCTTTGTTGTAATAATCATTATCCATTGTTACAGAATAATTAACTAGGTCGTAGAATTGTGACATACAAGGGTATGCTTCAGCGATTCACAACAAAGATCAGGAAATAGTTTGAAAACATATTTATAGTGGAGACACGGCAGAAGGAATTTGATATGGGGATGTTATAACCATAACTTGAGCGTTTAGTCTGTTCGCTTGTGATAATATAGTGCAGAGGTGGGCAACCTTTAATACAAGAGGGCCAGATACAAATAACTTGGTGAGACCGCGGGCCGCTCCTTTATTTAACAGAGGCTTTCTAGTAGTTGACGGCACATAAAAGGCATTGATTGTAACGTCATATGCATAGATAATAAATTGTACTCAGGTATAAGCTTTGTAATGCGAAGAGATCGGAATTACTCACAAGTACCAAATTGAACTAAATTAAAATTTCGTTTCGCTGGCCGCACGCCATTCATAATTGGCACTTCTACGCGGAATGAACAGTTATTCGTTGTGAGCAGCATTTGGCCCATGGGCCGCAGGCTGCACGCCTCTGATTTAGTAACCAGATGACATTTGTAGTCAAAGAAATTTAGGCCAGTCGGTGCTCCTGAAGTATTCGTACCAAGATGGCGCACAACCTGAACATAAAATGTGTACCAGGTTAGGGTTGCTCAGGTTGTGCGTCATCTTGGTACGAATACTTCCAAAGCGCCGGCCAGTTTATATTAAGCCATATATTAATAAGACGGGCGTTTCATCAGACTCATGACTGGAGAATAAATTTACTTCGACGTTTCAGTCCGTGGGCGTGTGTTAGTCAAAAAATAATCCGAGGGGAGCGCTGGAAGAAAAAGGGTTGGAAAACACTGGTTTAGTTCATTCGTTTGTGCAGTGTTTCCAAATTCGGCCTCATGTGGAGCCATGTAGCTGTTGTTTGGAAGACAGGTCGCTTCGATATGGCCACATGTTTGAGTCAATGTTTGAGAGTCTTTGTGAGGGGGCACGAAGTATGAAAGTTCGAGAAAATGGAAAATTCGATTTTAAAATGACTGTAAACTTATTTTCAATTTGTTGATCTTTTTTGTATCGGCGTTTACCACTTTTTAAATCGAAACAAAGTTTTTTTTTTTGATAAAAAAGTCTATTTTTAAAACACCCGGTTTAAAATTCTCGTTGGTGCTAAAATACCTGACGCGCATTTGAGCGAATCAACCAACGAAGTGTTGAAACTTGGAAACGGGTAGAATAAAAAAATTCGCAAAATAAAATGGCATTGCAAGGTAATTGAAACCGAACACTACGAGTATAGTAATCTGACATGTGGCACCAAAAGAATATTAACTTCAAAATGCGAGACAATTTTACTGAAATTTTTACAGCATAGTAATAGCCCTGCGCAGGTAATTTTTCTTGTACAGACAGTCTTGCCAGATTTATGACTTCAGTGAAGTTTAGCGAGATAAAGCTAAAAGCTCGTTGTGATAATAGTGAGCAGTACGTTCGCGCTCCAGATAATGTTATGGTGGCAATGAGGGGCGGAAAGATAGCGAATTTCGGTAAAGAGTGTTTTCTAACAAACTTATTTATACTATTTGATTCAAGAGACAGGCATTTTTATGAAAAAGTCTGACCCCGGTCAGACGAAATACATTTGTGTTAGTGTGCAACAAGACTCTTGAATCAAATAGGATAGCCATCTTTCTACTTGCCATGGAATCCTTGCGCTATACGCATCCACTTCCACAAAGGCATAGAGCAAGAAAAATGTAGTTAGTTGTTCTTGCGTTCCCCCAACTGATATTATGTGTATGTATGTATGTTATTTGCCTCAAAAATGTAACAGTATCTGCATAATAGTTAAACGGTATAAAAGAAACGGGATGCATGTATGTTTATATGCTTCAAAATGTAACAGTATCTGCATAATGCTTAAAAAGTGTAAAAGAGACGGGATATATGTTCAAGACCTTACTGACCTAAGACACAGATGTGCGACATGCACCCCAACAAGTATAACAGCAGTTTAGAACGTTATAGTAGGACAACAGACATGAAATATACAAATAAAAATCTTGTACAATACACTGGACAAAGAGGTACGGCACCACGATGATATGTACAATAGGCAGTTTATGGCACGTTCATGTCCCAGGTTCTGATGTGAAGAGATGGTAAGAGTATGAATCGCAATTTTGTGTTTTTTACAAAAGATTGTACGAAACAAGTAAAAATTTATTTACAGTGAAACATGCACAATTAGTCGAATGTTAAAGCTTTGTATAGACCTGTGGTTACCAAATTTCTATGGGTCGTGACCCTTACAGACGCTTTTAGCACTGATTATTCCCTGTTTATTATGTGTAGTGTTATTTTGATTGATAGGTTCTGAATCACATTATGTGCAAACAATTAATGCTCAACAAAGTAAAAACACTTTGTAAAATAACTGTATCGACAATGAAACTAGAAAGAATGGCGAGTTTTTCAGTAGAAATAAAACAAGTTTTGCACCTGAAATGCCCCCCCCCCTCCAACTGATCTGTTGGCCGCCGATCATGAACCGCAGGTACAGACATTTGAAACATTTTATTTAGTTAGCTTCTTCGAAAGTTGCCTTTACCAGGTAATTCATGCGTCGCACAATGTAGTTTTACCAATGTTTATATGTCTGGACTCTGGATGTGTCAATATATCAACAGTAAAGGCTGTCGTGCTAAAGCTTTGCCGTGTGTACAGTATCAAAGTTTTATTTGTGTATTTTCGCTGTTTCATCTTTGCTGCCAAACCGTTTAGTTTCGTCAGTGAGCGAGAGAACAGTCTTTAGTTTCACCATTTGGCATCGTACATCGTGTTATTTTATGCTATTCGACGAATAATTATATTTCAAGAATAGTTTTGACAAATTGTACAGCCGTTCTAAAATTTCCAATTGTTTTTATTGAATCGGCTGCCGATGTTGTTTTAGGCCTAGAACTGGCCTCAGGGCGAGAGTATTATGTTGTCACAATCATAAGATGTGGCGGGTTATTATATCACAATCGTATTATGATTTGAATGAACGACTGAAGAATATTAGACAAGTGTTTCGAAACGGGGAGAAATTTTATTGTTTTAGTGAGAAATTTTACTTTATATCTGCGCGTAGTATTTCAAATATTCTTATTTATTTAGTGTTATTGCAAAGAGAGCTCTAGAAGTATGTGTACCAATATGGGGGTAACTAATTCACTTGGCACAGACACAGACATTCCCGAACTCGTAATAGAACTAAAATAAGGAAAATCGGAATAAAATTATACCGTACCAGGGTACACATACTACGAAAGTACCTTATAATGCATATTTATGCACTTATTATGAACTATTCAAAACTGCTCAAAAGCCAGAGTGCGAATTTCGTGTATCATTAGTTAGTGATAGATTAGAGAAGCCTTTAATACAGAAGGGCTGGATACGAATAACTGGGTGAACCTGCGGGCCGCACCTTAATTTAACAAAGACTTTCCAGTCACAGATAATAAATTGTACTCAGGTATAACCTTTGCAATGCGAAGAGATCGGAATTACTTGCACGTGCCAAATCAAACTAAATTAAGAATTCGTGATGCGGGTCGCACACCATTCAAATTTGGCAAAAAATTTCAAAATTGTGGGCCGCATTTGGCCCGCGTACCGCAAGTTGAACACCCCTTGTTTAGAGATTGGATAACATGATAAAAGTTAGGTTGCGAGGAGGTTAAAAAAAATTGGCAAAGGGAGGAATGTATCGAAACCATATGGCTAAATAAACCGGACTCGCACCGAAAGCACGTCTTTTTTTTATACCAGCATTTATTAACGGAGTTTGAGATAGGAAAGCTCACAATTGACGCGACATTCGTTTGCGTATTGTGACTTAGAAACAAGCAGGATCTGCGACTCGGTCTGCGAACCTGTTGTCAGTAAATTCGATAGTAAAAGAGAACCGGTTCTTAAATTTTTGCGAGTAACCTTGCTCGAAGCGAGTTCTCATAAAACAACAACACAGCGAGTTGTAAACTTGTCATTGGTTAGAAACTGTGGCTTCGCTAAGCGCGTGATTTATTGCAAACGTTTAGCTTAAGGCAAGTGTTGTCGATTGCTCGTTTTATGAAGCGTTGTCGCTCAGAACAAGGCTCTCTATAAGTAACAAAATACTATTTTTGAAAAAATCATAATCTTTCAACTCGGGACTGCCTAAACAAGCGTAGCCACTAGTCAGCCCAAAATTTTTTTTTCTTCTGGGGTTGTATAATGACGTAATACGACGCTTACTTGTGCATTTTGCTCCGAACAAGGCTAGATAAAAGCTGCCATCGATATCTTACAATATCTTATAGAATCACTCTGCACGTCATTCGCTGTCGAAGTTACCCAAGACATATAAGCGCGCATTTTCATCTGTCTCGGCTGGTTCATTTGGTGAAAGGATATACAATAGCAAGCAAGCCAGGATATGCCCGGTTTTCAGTAATTCGTTCAAAAATGGATATTTGCTCAAGAATAGGGCAAAATGGCGTTGGAAAAAGCGCAAGAATTTATGTCTTACTGCAAATGTCGCAAAATTGCATTTAAAAAAAATGTTGAAATTATTTCATTGCGCGCTGGTTTGAAGGATTTTTTAATCGTTCAAACAAACAAGCGTTGCCAGTTTTTCAAAATGCGGTTTCGTTCGCGGTTTTCTATAATCTTACATTTTGCCTGGAGCTTCATAAGTTTGAGATAGATTAGCGTTCTGTGATTTTAATTGTGCGTCGTCGATCAGAGAGGACATGCATTGTTAGTAAGACTGGGCGTGTTAATCGATATTCGTAAGTTTCTAACCACAGAATATTCGAAGAAATAAGAATAGAATATGAAATGACTGTCGAATCTTAGATCGCCATAACTATCGTAGCGGATGCACTGGGATTATTGTATATCTAGCAAGGCTACCAAATCAAACACGGCCACTTTGTCCCATGCAAGCCTTCTTTAAACTGTTAAGAATACTTAGTCACTCTGATATGCTTAGTCCAGGGGTGTGCAACAGACGGCCCGCGGGCCACAATTAGATCCGCTAAGCAATGTAATGTGAACCAGATTTTTCCCCATCAAGCATCAAATTATAATCCTTATCTCCTAGCAAAATTACATACATGACTTTAGCATGTAATACAGAACTTTGAAAATTATCAAATTGTAATTTGTGTGCCAACAAAAAGCTGTCCGAAAACCAACTTAGAGCGGACAAAACATAACATAAAGTTCTAAAATTCAAATGTTCATCAATCCTTTCGTTGCAGAGTTTATTTTACTTAACTATAAATCTCGTGGCCATGTCGTCAACCACAGTGCAATTACGAAAACCTCGGAGCTCGGGAGCATCATCTAGCGGAAATAAATTTGGGAGACCAAGATCATGGACAGAATTCAATACCAGGTAACTTATAGCTAAAATTCCTAGTTTATGCAATAGTTTTAGGAGAAGGTTACTGTGGTGATTTGTGGTGGAGTCACGAATTCTATATCTGGCTCCGGTCCGAATAAACATTCGTTTCCAGGTTAATAGTAAAAACAAATTTCGGTTCTGACTTGTGATCTCTGTAACTTGAAGTCCGGAGAGCCCAATATTTTGACTCCTACTACCACTCCGGGAAACACACTATAGCACTTGCATACCATAGACTGCATTTTTATGTTGCCTCAATTCTACGTGATTAAAAACTTGATTCCCGACCCCGGTTTTAAAAATACAAAATTTGGACTTCCACTTAGCGCAAGGCTCCAAATCAGAAGATATGGCCCAAATAAAATATATTTTCGACTAGCATATATATCACAGATGGTGGTACAAGGGTATTGTATACAGCATGTCCTTTCTCCATGTTTACTCCCTACTTCGGATCCGTATGCAGGGGCGAAGCCAGTGAGGTTGGGTATGAGTTTGAGAGCCGGAACTTCCCTGGAATGCGAAAAAAGTACTTGTATAATGAATAGGATTTTTTTTAGTCTGAATTGCTTTTTAAACTTCCAAAAGAGTCTTGAAAACACGCGTTTTTCGGCCCCGAACCCGCTAGCTCTTACGGTCTAACTCAGGGTGGTCCAAACCCAGGCCCGCGGGCCCCATGTGGCCCGCCGCTCCATTATCTGTGGCCCGCGTCGCATTCTGAGAGTAATCAAAATATCGTATTTTAAATTGCTTCTCATGAAATAAATCAGAAAAATCGTTGACATATTGTTGTTATATCACTACTGTGACTGAATTGACTAGTATGATGGCTAATTGAAGCAACTAGCGAAGTTGAAGATGTGATGGGCAGTCTAAATTGTTACCTGGATTTCTATCGTTTTGGTTGGGAATATATGCTGACAATATAGGCATGACAGAAAACTAAAAATCAAATGCGAATTCCATTAGCGTAGTGTTTACACAATAGAAGTGCTTGTTTTGTGTTGCACTGTTCACCCATTCTTGGTACTATTGTGGCCCGCGGAGCCCACAACCTTGGACCACCCTGGTCTAACTAATAGGCATTTGATAACATTTAAACAACATAAAAATATTAATGTCGACTTTCGGGCTTGAATTTAAAATTAGGGCCCCCAGACTGTGATCTACCGCGTTGTTCAGAGCTAATGCACAAACACCTTATAGACATTTTTTGTTTCAGATTCCACGCTGTGTCGGTTCCAATCGATCTAACACCTGTTCCGAAGATAAACGATGACGTCATCAAAAGACGTAAGTATGACGTCAAACAATTTCTTATTATTGTTAACTTCGTTGCTAAGTGTCCATGATAAGTGAAATATAAAATGCCTTTGGAAATAATTTGTTTTCAATTTGCGTTTCAGGCGAACCGAATGAATACAGGAAAATTCGGCCGAAGTCCGCTTCTATACTGGATGGAGAGGACAGAAGTTTGAAGATCGCGGGTTCGAATCCTGCCGAGGGTACAGCAAGACCACCGTCACCGAAATATACATCATTTATGGCTCCTAACCCGTGGCGTACTGTGGTTCCCAAACCCAAGTCACCTAAAAAATCGCCTGAAAAGAGCATAGGGGGTAATTTTACTACGAAAGTGAAAACACAATCAACCAATTATGAGAAAACAATCGGCAATTATGACCGCACAACTAATGATTATGACGTAATAAGAAATGCAAGGAATGCTGAACCAGCAGACGATACTTGCCCTCAGGCTAATGAAACAGTCGGAAATGGATCAAATAAAACGAAAAATAACTCGTACGAGACGACAGTTGGACACTTTACTAGTTTATCTGATTCTGAAAGCATTGATTCTGCAGTCGTTGTGTCGTCTAGTAGCAGTCTGTACGGTACCGGTTCTGAAAAGTCTCCGAGCCGTTTCGAATCTAGAACTTCAGGTGAATTCGATTCTACAAGTTCGATTTCGGATAAAAGTTCGTCCGATTTCGGAAGTAAAACAGAAGATCGGAAATTTGAAAATATAAATTTGGAAACGCAAGCAACGAATTCGAAAGAAATAGAAAACGCAGCGAAAAGTTCGTCTGACGCAGCAAGGCAGGATACAAAACTGCGAGCCAGCAATTTTACGCTGGATTTGGTACCGAATGTTGCCGAAAACATTCCACAAAGATCAGAATTGATTGTAGAAAATTCAAAAAGTACCAGCAGGGCGAAAAGTACTACACTGCCGGTAGGAAAGCAGCCGCCGCCGACGATTGTAATTTCCAAGTCTGACGAGGATATGGAGTTCTGTGCTGAAGATGAAACATACAGGTTCGGGGGTCGGAGTTCAGAACCCAAAACCGGAAGTTACGTTGACAAATCATCCGTGCCTTCCCCCCTCAAATCGTGTTACACGCCGGTTGCAATTTATGAAGATTTTGTCGAATATTCGGATTCGGATAATTCTTCTGTTGATGAAAATTCGAATCGTGAAATGTCGCGGAGTAATATTAGTTCACATCTTGGTTACGAAGGAGATAGATCAACGGAAGAATACACACCGAAAACCACGCCCACTCCACGCCTCCGCCAATCATTTAAGCGAACTGGTCATGACGATAATGACATCATAGATGACAACAATAATAACAATCAGGATACCAAAGGAATGAATTATGACGTCACATGCGGAACGTGGCCCAGAAGAAAGGCTAAGAAAAAAGGAGATATCATTGATGTGGAACAGTTAATGAAAAAATTTCTTGAAACGAGAGAATCTCATTTGGAAAGATTCAAAAATATTTACGCAGATTCGAGGAAAAGAATTGATGACGTAATGAGGGGGTTAAAAGAAACTATGACGCAAAATGGTTACAGGGAATGGTATCCAAGGGTACGTTGATTGACGTGATAAGCCACGCCTACAATCACTTCTAATCCAATGACTGAAGTGTTCAATCCACGCCCGCTTTGACTAATGGTGAGCCACGATGCAATCCCGATGATTGACTTATATATGCCACGGCTATTTTGGTGATTGATGTACATATACCACGCCCTTCACCAACGACACATTTATGTTAAATAGCTTACCCTGGCACGCAGGACAGTCACACAACATTTTTTATTATGATTACCGAAGCCCTCAACGAAAAGAACACTGAATGACGTACTTGGTAAAACACAATATTTAATCAAGTCTATGTATATGAAACAAATAACTGGCTGACTAACTTCACACTCGACATGGACTGGTAACCGGACGTGAGGCCGTGGTTCTCCATACAATTGAGCCGTCTTATCGGCTCTTCTTTCCCTCGAAATGAATATGTAAATCCTATCCTCAAACACGATAGAAACAACGCCAGGTACACTATAGCAGAAAAATAACAAAATAAATTGAATGGTCGAAAACTGGAAATCACCACTTTTTAGCATTCCGGGCTTTTAACTTTGCCCAGAGAAAAGTATTTTTTACTTCCAAGTGCGCATTCGGCCTTGCTTCATGTCTACTCGCGTTACTGGCGTGCCATACCCCGCCCTTCAATGTTTGCCTGCTGCAAAATGCTTATATTTCAGCGCTATCTGCTATTCCTCCGCTGCTAATTATTTTCTAATCTGTTTTTTTTGACGAGGTTATTTTCTCATTTTGTTAAATTGTTGACTGTTTGATTAATACTTAAGTAAATAGGGCCCGATATTTCGCCCAAAATTTTACTGTTTTTATTTTGCTTCGTGAAAAAAAAAACTTTTATATGATATATGGAAACTCTCTTCTATTATGACTATTCGTTTGATTAAACCTTAAATGAATTCTTAAATAACATTTCACTTCATGAAAACACTCTTATATTTGGGCATTGCTCTCTTGTGTTACCAATCGGTATTTTTCATGAAAACAACCTAAAAATCGATAAATAAATTAGTTATAACAAGTTAGTATTAACGTTATTCTACCGTCTTAACAGTGTCTATAAAATCGCTTTATTTTGTTTAAAATAAAAAATTTCACAATACACTCAATTAGAATTGATTCACAATCTGAAGGGAAAAGAATGCTGAGTGAAGGGTATGTATATTTTGCAATGTTTTTCCGGACTATCTGAACAAGTCTCTGAGCCAGCAGCATAAGATTGATCACAGGCTTGAAAATTTGCTCACACACAGGCGTTTGACTGCTGGACTTTTTACATTTATTCCGGGGCAGAGGAAAGAAGATGATAAGTAGATCTAAGCTAGGTAGGCAATGAGGCGCCCTAGAAGTATGTGTACCAGTAGGTGACCGTACATTTGAACCCACGTACATTTGAACCCATGCGTATATCCACGGGTTCAATCTATACTATATGCGGGTGCTAAAACCCATGGGTTAGGGTTACTATGGGATCAACTATCCGAAAAACAAAAAAAATTCCATAGGTGCAATAGCATACAGGTGCAATTGTCATGGGTTCAAATGTAATGAAACCGTACCAATATGAAGATAACTAATTTTGTTCGCCTACTTTACATCAAGTTGTGTAAAGGGACTGAAACTATGGGCAGGGGGTATATTCACTTGGCTAACACAGACAGTCCCCGAACTTGTGATAAAAGTAAAATAAGGAGAATCTGAATGAAATTATGGCCCAACCCTAATCTGGTACACATACTACGGGAGTACCGTCAATAATGGCTCTGGCTTGGGAAAGGCTACGAAGGGCCAAATCTGGTTAGTATTGCAATTCTAAAAATCCATATCGATTTTCAACAAATTTCGATGCAAAATCGTGATAAGAGACAAATTATATTTTAAAAATCTCAGATAAACACGATTAATTGCAAAAATGACAAATCTTCAGGGAAAATTAAAAAAAAAAGCAGAAACTCATTCAACATAATATAAATATAAGCTTTTGCCAAAACACAGTCTGGTTTAGTCAATAGTCAGATATACTGTTACACACTGCCTATGTTTCTTGTTCTGTATTGGGCTATTCCAAGTGACACTACAGGACAATTCCATGTTTTTAGATGCAATATATTTTTACATTTTCAGCTACATGTTTTGTTTCATTGTCCAATCAGTTGCTTTATTGAATATGTAAAAAATTGCACAAAAGTTACAACCATGACATACTTGATGGATATAAAAAGGGGGCTCCCGAAGTATGCGAACCAAGATGGCGGACATCGGAATGTAATATGTGTACTAGGTTAGGGTTGGGCCATAATTTTAGGTATAAATACTACGGGAGGCTCTTGGCTAGTCTTCGAACTGATAATAGGACTAAAATAAGGAAAATTGGAAAAAAATTATCGCCTAACCCTAACCTGTTACGTTCCGATGTCCGCCATCTTGGTTCGCATACTTCGGGAGCACCATAAAAAGTATAGTAAAATATAGCGTGACACTCGGGACGGTAAGTACATCATGTTATGCTGTAAATTTTCGCGATGGTATAGCAGGAGCCCATAATATTTTCTGGTGCAGTAGCTGAAGGACCCTTCTATGTGTGGCTCAATTCACCTAATGTAACAGTGTAAATCCATGCCAATAATGTGCATATTGTATGTGACACTACAGGACATTTTTCCACTTCGGAACAGCGGCCTCTATCATCTCTTAAAATTCTGGTAATAAATTGTTAAATGGGTGAAGAAATGTCCTACAGCACTGCAAACATTTAAACTTTATCAACTTGAATTCAGTGAGTCCATTTCCTATGAAATAACTGTATCACACAATCAAACACTTTGTGTCACAAATCATCACAAAATATGTCAATTATACCAAAATTTCTACATTTTAGGCCATTTTTTGAAAACCATCAAAAACCTAGGTGAAATTTTTTCGGTGAAAGGAATGCAGTCCAACAAAATTCCAATGACATTTGATATAAAAAATACAAAAAAATTACCTTCACTACACTTTTAAAAAAATTGATGGAATTCAACTTTTGCTTGGAATGGCCCTATTATGGATAGTGACCCATTTGGTTTACGTTTACCTGGCCTAAACAGAAAAAAGGGAAAGCCCCAAACTGTGATATAAAAAACTTTGGAGTTATTGAAAATCAAAAAAATTCTACAATTACTGTGAATTATTAAGAATATTTTCATTAAAAAAATGAGCATTTGAAGTCATGCAATGCAGTAAGGATGAAATAGACTGAAATTGATTTGAATTCTGATAATTGTTGAAAACAATGTGTACTTGACTTTAACAACATCACAAATTACAAAGTGGCCAGCCATGTAAATTCGGTGACCAGCCTTGTCAAAAATATTGCAAAATACACAATAATAACAGGCAGTTTATTTCTAGCAATTTTTACATGTTAATATCTAATTGTAGCGGTAACTCCTGTTCAGGAATAAAGAATGGGCGACCCCTTAAACAAAAAAAGTTCTCTGATTTAGAACATAATATACAGGGTGTCCATAAATTCTCCTCACAACTTCACTTTTGTTATGGAGTCAGTTCCCAATATATCTCAACCAGATTTGTTGTTTTTAATCAGTAATTGTTTTTAAGTATTTTTACTTCATTTAATACAGCTGTGAGGGCCAAAACAATGTATGGTATCGATGAATTCCCTTTGCAATTTTGAAAAATTTGAAGACTTCATGGACACCCTATTATAACAGGTGCGGAGTGAAGTTTTTGAACTCATTGGAAAAAATTATTGTGACTGGGGCTGCCTATAGCAATGGCTGCTTAATATAAACTATTGCTCGGAAGCGAAAGAAACAAATAAGCTTTGTGTGGAAAAGTAAGAGGGTATAATTTTCGGTATTCAAAGTGCCATAAATCTGAATTAAATTGGATTAATAAAGAGTCATTTATTTGAACTTATTGGAGATTCGTCATCTGACATAAAATTAGGCCTGGAAAACAAAAATAATAACGAATTCATTGAAACCACAAGGATTTAAGTGAGGAACAAGCGATGAAAAGTAATTATTTGAAATTAACACAAACCAGTCATTTGACATGGAAACGGGAATATTTTTGAAAACAAACAGATTTCCATAATGCTTAAACTGACAAACAGAAGAATTTCACGTTCCAGTTTTTTGGCCTGCTTATTTTTAGACATTTATGCAACCCAGAATTTTGACTGAGAAATAGATTTTTCTCTAAATTTCTTAGAAATGTCCGTTATGCCAGAAATGTACCTGCTTTCAAATATCATTTAGTCATTTGACAATAATTTAACTGAATAAAAGCAAAATTCAGAGATTCATATAATCTGGGTATTTTGTCGGAAGAACAGATATTTCAAAATTTCTAACGGAATGTGAAAATTGATTAAGAACTCACACAAATGTATTTATGAAAAACATCAAAGTGAATTTTCAAATTTCAAATCAAAATTTGACTGAATAGCAGCAATTTTTCCCAAATTATTCTATTTTTAATCATTTTCAGAGATTTTTTCTAAATTTTCTGAAAATTCGACATTCGATTAAAAATTCACACAAATCGATTCACAAAAAACCTCAAACCCTCAACGCTGTCATCCCGACAAAGTTTTCCCAACTTTTCCGCTAAAATCAGTCGTTCTTTCGCTAGAAAAACGGAAATTTCAATCAAATTTGCCAATTGTTGTGCAGTCAACGACTCACTATCTGTAACTAACGCTACGGTTTGCGTCACAGATTTCTCCTCGCTGTGAGTTTCAAGTTGTATCACAGAAACTCCGCTATCGTACGTTTTCATTCGAACCGGTAGTTTCATACTCTCGAACATCTTACAAGCATTGATCATATCATCCGGAGAAAGCATTTCCAGTCCGCGTGCTCGATTAATCATACAATATGCGTCCGATAGTAAAATAATCCCATCTCGTTTTCTCAGCTCTGGTACGAGAGAATCGCTCAACTCTCGTGCAAGTTGCATGTGATAATGCGTCCCCGTTCCGTGTGTTTCCTTGGTAACAGGATTTGGGATTCCGAGACTCAATAAATATGATTTAAATTTGATCGTTTCGTCCTCAGAAATGTCTCCTTGTTTGTCTTTTATTTTTGATGAAATCGCTTGTGAAAGTTGGACCATTTCTTTCGCTTTGTCCATTAGCTTCGTTAAATCTTGAAACGCGACAGAAATATTTTTCTCGGCTTCTTTATGTCTTTGCTCTATTTTTCTTTCGATTCCGACAATTCCACCTCCTTTTATTCGACCCCCTTGATTTTGTGGTCTAGCTCCCCCTTGTGTTGAAGTTTGTTGCGGTCGTTTTTCCCATTCTCTATTTTTTAATGCGTTCATCATTGCGGAATAAAATTCTGAATCACCATGGTTTTTAAAGCCGATTCTTATGAAATTATTCCGACTATGGGCAACAGGACCTGGTGGTTTGTTCGCATCGGGTCTGGAAAGATGAAGTACAAGTTTAGGGGCTTTCCCTATCCCCCCAGATGTTTTTTCAACTTGGACAATCAGCGATAAACTCAGCAGTAAATTGCAGTTTTGGTTTCGCGAATCTGTCCATATTATTTTTGTCGGTGTCAGTTGTAGAATCCCATCCTCGAAGGAAGTACCGTCATCTCCGTCGTAAAGTTTTATTCCGTTTTGACGTGTCAGTATCTGACTGGAGTCATGGCTACTATCCCAGCTCCAGCGATCCATTTTATTAACAAAATCTATATAAAATATAAATTTGAACAATTGCAGAATTGATTGGATTTACATATTTATCCCGGGGAGAGGAAAGCCGATAAGACGGCTTAATTATGGTGAACCAAGGCCTCTCGTCCGGTTACCAGTCCAGGTCGGGTATGGGATTAGTTAAGGTAGCCAGTTATTTGTTTTCAGAAGCATGGACTTGATGGTGGAGGAAGCCGTAATTGACCAGCGGTTACGTGAACCACCCTACGGCGGCGAGGAGTCTAGCAATCCTCTCGCACATAATCATCCCCACATGGGATTCGAACCCACGAAGGGTAATCAGAGATGCAGTGGCGTTCACATTCCTAACGCTTGGCTTAGCACGATGCGCCATAAGGCCAAGATAATATAATAGTTTTTTCCATGCTCAAAGTACCAGAAAGTCCTAGAGTACCGGTAATGATAGAATACTGGTACCGTACTTGGATAGACAAAAGTTTACTTAAAGCAAGGTCTCAACTCTCAAGCCTTCAGCTAAAAGTAGAAAAAGCACGGTACCGGTACCGCCACCGGTAGGCTTGCACGTAATTTACGTATTTACGGAATTACGTAATTATTTGGAGTTACGGAAGGGAAGTTACGAATTACGTAAAGTCGTAATTAATGCATTGAAACGAGCTTTCTTCAAAGCAGTCAATTTCGTCGATTGCCAAAAATGAAAGCTCAACAAGCAGAAGAAGTTAGAGTTCCGGTATTCGCAGCCGTTTATTTCTTTTTTCTCTCTCTTGTTACGTAGGTGAAGGAAGGCATGACGCGTTGCCATTTACTAACCTATTATCAACTTATCTGGCATGGCCAATGTAAATTATTAACGTAGTTAAGGGGGAAGAACTGAGTAGGGCCGTTTGACGCCAACACACCTGGTTTTAACTTCTCCCGCAACCCAACCGTATATAAGGGATAGAATTGCGTTGAGACCGATTGACGCCAACACACCTGGTTTCAACTTCTCTCGCATCTCATCTAGCACGGCCAATGTACATAATAACCGTAGATAGGGGGAAGAATTGTGTTAAGACCGATGGACGCTAACACGCCCGGTTTCAACTTCTTCGGGTGAAATGACTAATGAACGCAGGAGATCAATATATCAAACATGGTCTATCAAACATTTGTATCCATTTTACTATTTTATACTATTTACTATTTACTATTTTATTTTTTATTTACTTGTTCCAGTTTTCCGTTACTTATGGTATATATGTTCCGTTTCTATTTTATTATATTTTATAGTCGAGCTGGGAATAGTGGGAAATTCCCCACAAAGTGTGGATTAGCACTGCTTAACCATTCTTTATTGTTAATATCAACACTTGATATATGAACATGGAATATCATACTGTTTTTGGCTGTTTTATTTCAGACTTGGGGTATAAACAGGAAAATATCCATAACCTTTCAACACGACGATCTTGTGAAATTTAACGAAGAGCTTTCGCGACGAATTGGAACCAAATAAACGGAAAGAGCGATTGATCACTCGCGCCAATATCTCGCCGTGATAATTAATGTCGCGCTTATCAAATAGCAATATGACGACAAAAGAGAGATTGCGTAATGAACCAACGCAACTTCGTCTTCTCGGCATCGGTAAAGCGATTGAGACGGCAGAGAAACAACAAAACCACGGATTCCTCGCGGACCGCTAAAAATTTAACTGCTATCATATATAATCAAATATGAGCCAGTGTGTTTATTCTGTGCGAGATCCATTTTCTATTACAAAATCTTGATGTTCTGTTAACAGTTTTATCGTTATATATCAGTCCGGACTTGGCCTTGCTCATGATGTTTTTCACAATTCCTCTCAATATTTCGGCCATATATGATTGACTGTCTTACCAAATGCGGCAACTTATTTTGATTTATCGTCGACTTGAATACCACCGGCACTCGACCAAACTTGTGTCAATTTTGGCCGATAGGATCGCCGACTTGAGTTAGCAAATAAATGTCGTGAGTGTAAAATAAATGTCACAAAATGCATATGTTGCGATATAACTTTGTATTTTCGGAGAAGTCATATCATATAAGTTCGGTATTTAATATACGCAAATAAATAATATTTGATCTAAATTTATCGCAAATAATGTTATAAACATTCAGTCCGCGAAATGATTAAATGTAAAATGAAGCATGGTAATCGGAATATCGTCAATAAGACGACATCAATAATTATTATTATAAAATGCTAACAAGGCAGTAATGTCGGGTAATGCAGAAGACGCTGCAAAAACAAGTCTTCGTCGCGAGGAAATCGCAAGTATAATCAAACGAGAGAATACGCTCGTCGTTGGTTAATAAATTAGAAACCCGTAATTTTTATTCAGTACTAAGGTGGTTTTAAAAAACTATCGTTTCCATAAATATCCGTATACCAGTGTCGGTAATGATAAAATAAAATTGATTGCATAAAAATGGGACGGTTAATTTGCGAAGGGGATAAAGGAAAACCAAAGCTAACACAAAAGATAAAAATCAGAATAAAATTAATTTGAATTCACTCCTTGATATTTGTCTTTAACATCTGCCGCCGGCGTGTAATACTGCCAAGAATATGAAAACCCAACTTCAATGTCCCATTCGGAAAAGAAGTGGATTCAATTGGTTGTTATGATAGGTTTAAATGCGTGAAAAAATATCGCAATTACGAGGTCATTACGTAATTGATTTTGCCGTAATTACGGAATTGATTTTTGTCAATTACGTGCAAGCCTAGACACCGGTACTGGTACCGTACCAAGAGTTGCAAGCCACCACGAATGCAGTACCGGTACCGATAATGCACAAACAACTGTATACCGGTACTTATATAGAAAGGTTATATAATAGAACTGTACACTTGTACCGGTATACGGTACCCCTACAGGTTTATCAAGCCGTCTTATCACTCTGTTTTTCCTCACGAAATAAATAAGCACAAAAGTTTTGCAAAGGTGGGAACACAGGATTCTAGGGTCAGAGGTCAGGGTAATACAGTAAGTGAATTTCAACATGGATCGGGATTTCGGGGCTAAATTATTTATTTGTTTTAATTCACGGGCAAAAAAAAAACACAGAAAAATATGAAAAGGTAAAAGCGTATTAAACCAATGAGCCAATTTATACATGTTCATTGATCAAAACGCATCAAACGTTTGTAGTCGGTCCTACCAATGACATTAAACAACATGATGCGCAACTCCGGCATTTTTGTCCGAAGATCGTATTCGATAGCACGCTCCAATGCACATACTTGACGAGACGAAAATGATCGGATGTGTGCTGCTTTCGAGGCGTAGTACGAATGGTGTTCGTGCCCGCTTTGACAGTTGTTTTCGATTTTAATGATATTTTTGAAAGTTGGGGTAAAAAGAAATCGGTAAAAGGTAAGGTGAATACTATTGTTGTATATCACACCCGGGCATCGCACTGTTAAGTACATGTGGGAAAGCCAGCCTTTGTCAAATACTACGAAGTTATTAATTCAGTACGGTACGTAGTTGCCCATTTTCCGAAATTACATATTTACTTACCCCTTATGGTTTCAAATAGTTCATGCACCTCCAGTTAGATTTTTTTAATCAGTGAGGATATATACTCATTGTTGATTGCTGCTCATTGTAACATACTATTGCGCATTCACTTTTATTTGCGTATTGAATCAAAGTGTTAACAAGTTCACCTATCATTTCACTCATACCGGTCTATATTGTATAGTCTGATTTCTCAAGTATTTGGAGCCACGAATGCTTGTAATTTTCTGACTAAACCCTTTTATTAGTTGGTTTATATACCAAATTCAGTAAAATATTTTTTACATAAAACATGAGATATTGGATTTATTAGCTTTTCCATTCTAAATCATATAGACTGCTTCATTTATTCTTAACGAAAATTAATAAATCTCCTCTCTTTCTTCAGATGTGAAAGTTGTGGACAAACCTGTCTAAGCATTGTGAGACTCTTGCAGTACAAGAGGCAATAGCAGAAATAGTAAGTATATCAATCAAGAAATTAAGCCGACATAAAGCAAAACTTTCAACTATTCGTCTAATCACAATTTCCTATTATTTATTCACAGGACAACTATAGCAGACGGGGAGATATCAGAAGTCTGGCAACATATCAGTGACAGTGTGATTCCAAGAAATATAATGTTTGCAATAGAAAAACAACCTATGGAGGCATGCAAAGACATTTGACCCTCCGGTAGAGTTGTTTATGGCCCCCACATCCTGCAGGGCTTGAGGAAAATAACTAAAAATTCCAAAGCGTAAGATTGCATAAGCGGTCTTATTTGTAAAAAGGCACAAAACACGCCAGACATACTTAAAACAGCTTTGGAAATGAGGATTACGGGTACCTCACTGCACCTGTGTTATATTCGGTTCATCAACTTTTGGTAGTACTATAAAAAGAAATTCCGGAAGGGGTATAATCATCATTCATGATAAAATACTATCATATATTTTTTTGAACAACTTCAATCTAGACCAGGGATCTCAAACTCGCGGCCCCAGAGAACTTCCAGTGCGGCCCTCGGACGCTTAACAATAATTGTAATAGTATTTTGGAAGTTTTTTTTTTATCTAAATGTAATAGATTTTTCAAACCTTCTAAAGTGAAATTGATTATTCACACAGAAAACAATTTACTGAAAGTAGTTTTGGAATATTAATTTTTTTTGTCCACATTTTGACCCAATTAAGAATACACATCAAGCTAGCAAAAGAATACTTGAATAAAACACTTGAGTGATTAAATTAAACGCAAAGTACATGAAGAAGGTGGCATTTTCGAAGAAAATGGGAGTTGTAACATTTCTGCTCTTCACAAAATTCTGAAGCACATTGTTTAATTTGTCATATTTCCATCAATACAATCAAAAAACACAATAAGCTTAGCAGTCAATATGACAAGTTCGAAGACCAACTTCGAACAGAAAATTTCCATGTGTTTGTATATTAATATAATTATACAACGACTTAGTTATTAAAAATCAATATCAATAATAATTCAAGCAATCCTATGCCACGCAATGTA